CCTTAATTTAATAATTTGGGCAAGAAGCTTTGCAAATGCCATATTACGAGTTGATAATAGGCAAACATGAGACCATTTGCTGGATGCATCTATTAAGACCATAAAGTATCTAAATGGTCAAGATGGAGGGTGAATCGGTCCACATATATCACCTTGAATTCTTTCTAGAAATCTAGGTGATTCCCTTTCAACTTTCATTGGAGAGTGTTTTATAATTAACTTTCCAAGGGAACAAGATATACATGGTTTTATGCTATTGGATTGAGGGAACTTTTGGTCCTTCAATGGATGCCCATGTGTATTCTCAATTATCCTTCGCATCATTGTTAATCCTGGGTGGCCCAACCTATCATGCCATAAACTGAATGTCCCAGGATCACAATGTTTTCCTTCGATTACCATATTTGATTCAATCATATGTATATATGTATAATGTAGACCGGAATCAAGTGTTGGTAGTTTTTCAAGCACATGACTTTTGTCTATAATATACATATATTTCTTATTTTCAATGGTCACAGTCTTTGTGTCATATCCTTTGAAATATATGTCATTGAAACTTAATAAGTTTCTATTAGACTTTGGAGAAAATAAGGCATTTTCTATACAAAAGTTTGTACCATTTGGTAATATAAAATGGGCTTTCCCGGTTCCCTCTATCAAGTCTGCAGGACCTGATATTGTATGTATAATTGTTTTTGTTGGTACTAATTTTGAAAAATATTTCTTTGATTTCAGAATAGTATGTGTACTACCACTATCTGCTATACAAAGATCTCCAATCTTTTCTTGGTGTTGTGCTCCAGTTGGACTCATATTAAACTTCACATATGAAAGGAATAATCTATACTAATAAATAAAACCCATTTTCTGCCACATGTCATGTCCTCATTGATTTGGACACATGGCATTTTAATAGATTTTTAAAATTTACTTATTTCCACATGTAATTTTCTGATTTGTTCACATATCACAACTTATTTCGATTACAATATGAGAGAATTAAATGCTTCCTTGAAAAAGAATTGATATATTTATAATGTAATAAATGTCATAATTAATGAGAGCTCTAAAATTGATATTGATATTAAATATTGATTTTAAATTTAAAGTTTAAATATTGATATTAAATTTTTATTTTTAATAAACCCGTGTAGTACACGGGTCTCATACCTAGTAAGTGAATAAACATAATCATAATTATTATTAAAAGAAAGTTCATTTATTGAAGGAAAGGCATTACATGCAAAATAAACGAAGGAAAAACAGTTTTACTAGCACAATAATAGATTTTTTTTTAGTTAATGTCTTCCATGTCATTGCAGAAATCGGCAACATTTAGCGGAGTGAATTCAACATTATCAATGAGGTTTGCTTCCTTTCCTTTTCCTTTAATGGACTCTTGATAAAGTTGACAAAGATGTGCATGTGTGCGACAGGTCCTTGACCAATGGCCTATGCTACCACATCTATAACATGCACCATCAGATTTTTGTGATGTCCCAGTGTCATGCCTTGCCACTTTGGCCTTATCTTGTATGTGGACATTGTTTCTTTGTGAATGTTGGTAATTATTCCTTTTCTGGCCACGACCACGATTATTACCTTGTCCACGACCAGAATTATGGTTCTGATTATGGCTTTGGTTTCGATTAAAATAGCCACGGCCTCGTCCTCGACCACGACCACGCCCTCGTCCACGTGTATTGTTTCGATGACTATCAATATTTGTAGCATTTGCTTCAGGAAGTGCTACTGATCCCGTTGGACGAGATTCATGATTTTTCATCAAGAGTTCATTGTTTTGCTCTGCAACGAGCAGACATGCATTCAGTTCAGAATATCTTGTGAACTTTTGCATCCGATATTGTTGCATCAAGGTAATGTTTGTTGCATGAAATGTGGAGTAAGTTTTCTCCAACATATCTTCATCAGTAACTTCTTGTCCACAATATTTGAGTTGTGAACATATTCTAAACAAAGTTGAGTTGTATTCATTTACTTTCTTGAAGTCTTGAAACCTCAGTGTTCTCCATTCATCTCTAGCATTTGGAAGTATAACTTCCTTTTGATGATCAAATCTTTCTTTCAAAAGATTCCAGAGAATACTTGGATCAGTAACATCAAGATATTCAAATCTTAACATTTCATCAATATGCTTACGAAGAAAAACTTGTGCTTTTGCTTTGTCTTGTGCCAAGCAATTATTAAATTCATTTATAGCATTTGAGATTCCTATGGACTCAAGATGCATTTTTACATCTATCATCCATGGCACATAGTTTTTCCCGCTAACTTCAAGTGCTGCAAACTCGAGCTTTGCAATGTTGGACATAATGTAACTTGATTAAGATAGATGTGATTTCCACTTCTAAATAACCTTTGTTTGAGCTTTCGTGCTGATAACGTGTTATAAATTTGATGTAATTAAAAGAAGATTAGTAAAACTAAACTAAGAACCTTTAAGAAAGAAGAAAGAAGAAAGGAGATTTGGAGAGAATTTGATAACTTATATAAAGTATTCAAATTGGTGTACCTTTTACATATGTGATAATGCTATTTATACTAGTTAATCACTAAACATAATTAATGAGTTCTTACACATATTTGACATATTTATCATAAGAGTTGAAAATAACTCTTACACATTTGACATTAGGAAATGTTGTCATTCAATTATTTACAACAATACATATATATATATATATATATATATATATATATATATATATGTATATATATATATATATATAATTTAGAAAAATGCATAAACAAGAAAAACCTATGAAATTATGTCGCCTCAACCTTATATGTTAGACAAGAATCCATTTAAACTTTGAACTAAATGATGATACATGAGAAATTGTTTTATATTAGCAAAATATGTTTTTTAACATTTTTATTATGAAAGCTTGAATTTAAAAGTTATTAAGAACATTAAAAAAATAATTGTTAAAACCACATTTGAATTTATATTATCATAATACCATCTAATAAAAATTTATTATCTTTAATTTATTACTAATAAATTTAATTTGTAAAGTATATATGTTTGATTTTTATAAGATAAAATTTATTTACAACCATGACCTCGGCATGGGACATATTAAGAGAGTACTTTTTCTTTCCATTTTTTTTAGAAACTATTTTATAGATAATATGTTTACATAAAGTATAAATAATATATCACAAACTTTTATATTTTATTTCCTATAAATAATAAATAAAGTATTATAATATTGAAAGAAGTCTTTTTTAACTGGTTTATTGAATTCTTTTTCATTTCTTTCTAAAATACTAAAAACTAAAATCTTACAAAAATTCAAAAGTTGTCTTTTTGAGGAAATAAATATATTTTTATTTTTTCTTTCTAGTATCTTCCTATCAATCAATATTAAATGATGATAAATATTATATTTTGATAAAATTAATAGTATTTTAAGTCACTTATAATTATTTTATATGAATAGAAATATAAATAAAAATAAAAATATAAATATAAGGATATTTAATATCTTGTTTCGTAAACACATCCCAAGTTTAAAACCAACCTTTTTTTTTTTTTTTACAGTTTTTTAATAAAAAAAAATCAGAGAATGAAAAATTAACTAAGTCAAACAAAAATTAAAATAAAGTTGATTTCTCTAAAATGTCTATAGAGACCAACATAGAACCTGAAACTAAAAAATTAGAATCAATCATGTCCTAAAAAAACAGTTTTTTATTCATTAGAATCAATCATTTAAGAATAAGAGGAGCAACCTACAAAACCGATCTTTCATCTTTATCCATCTATACTCGGTTGGGGATTGATATCGACCTCCTGGATTAATTTAACGATAAAAATGACTTCATTTAATATAGCAACAAAGACCCCCTACGTGCCTTTAAGGATTTTCAGATGTTATACAGTATAATGTTATCCGTAAGGATAAAGGTGGTGATGAGTACGGTGATCATAATAGTAAAAAAGAAAATGCAAAAAAAAACTTTTTTGGGTCCCAATAAAGTGTAATTTGATTTCTTTTTTATGTCTCATTCTACTAAACTCCAAACATGTTGTAAAAGTATTTGACTGTAATTCGTAAATTTCTTAATTCAGTATTGATTAAAAATATTTTAATACTTAACTATAGGATAAAGAAATATAAATATTAAATAGGTCAAGGTACGTTTTATATAGTCGACATTTAGGGTGTAACTAGATTCAATCATCAATTAGATATAGCCTCTTATCAAACTCACTAATCGATTTTTAATTATGGTGCTAAACAGTCGAATCTGATCGATACAAACTCAACTTATTATTAAGTAATAATTAAATCAAACAAACCTAAAATTTATATTACTTTTTTATATAAAATATATATATATATATATATATATATATATATATATATATATATATATATATATATATATATATAACTCGTTTTTTTTATATATATATTTTCGAATTTTTAGAAGGTTTTCGATTTAATTTTGATGGAGCTACCGATTACCGATTGCTTATGTTTTCTGTGAGCCAGAAAACAAGCAGTCTCTATCTTGAGAGGCCACGTCACTCCATCCGCTCTTCAACATCATTCCACCTGGCCACTTTACCACCATAAACTCACCGGCTTTCTGCCCTTCGTACAAGTGTTCACCTACTTCGGTTCATTCCAAACAACAACAGAGACCTTTTAACCTTGAAAATAGCCACCAGTTTCTTACCTGAACTTCTACCCCCTGTATCTGTATCTACCCTCAGGAAACCATAACAAAAGGACCAATTATCACCCATCTCCAAACCATAAATACACGACCAAGCATATCGATCTTGCTTACAGGTTATAAAACAATTACATGCATGATCGATAATGGATGCTGTAGTATCATCAACCTCAAAAAGCTTCTCCACAAATTCTTTCTTTACTCCTTTATTCATCTCCATATTGGGAATCGGTGCCACTGCGTTAGCCATACTCATGTATCATCTCCTAGTTGTTAGATACTGCATGAGAAGGCAAGCTGCAAGAATGGCGTCGATTCAGACCATGGCCGGAGGAGCCGAAATACCCACCGGCGTCGATGAAAAGACGCTTCTTACAATCCCGATAATCACCTACACGGCACCTGATTCGTCCATGGATCCGTATGAATGTGCGGTTTGTTTAGGTGATGTGGATAATGGCGATAAGGTCCGATTGTTGCCAAATTGCAAGCATATGTTTCATGTCAAGTGTATTGACGAATGGTTCGTGGGTCACACGAGTTGTCCGGTTTGTAGGGTTCCGGTGGTTGCACCAGATGATGAGGCTCGTAGTTGCCCGGTTTGTAGATCGGTGGGAGCGTTAACAGATGATCATAATACGACGTCGGTGGGTTCTACACCAGAAGGTCATGATCATCAAACCGATTCTGGGATCGACGTTTTAGATGGTATTAATGATGGTGAATTGACATCTGGGCCAAGAGTTCGATCGGGTGAAATGCTTCGACATTGTAATTCCTTGGTTTTGCCAAGAGAAACGAAGGAAATGTTATCAGGAATGGAGTTAAAAAGATCGTTATCAATGGGGCAAACTGCATGTGTTACCATTGATATACAGCTAGACAATGTGGACAAAGATTGTCAGTATTATTCTTCAATCAGGGATCAATCCATCAAGGGGTTTCTACGTGTATCCTCGAAGGTGAGGCAGTCGATTTCTCGGATGTGTGTAGGACAAGAGAGTGGCATTCTTCCATACTGAAATGTTTCTATTCTTTTAGGATTACAAGAAATGTTTTCAATGACATGAGAGATTGTTTTTTATAAATAATCTAAAGATCTTGGATCCAATCTAGATGTGGCATCTCCTAGTGGATTACTAGGGATGCATTAATAAAAAGACGAGAGTTGATTCATACTCTCGGATACGGTTTCTTTAGTTTTCGAGCTTCAGTAAGTTGTTAATTTCCATGGGAGGGTTACAGAGGCTTGGGCTCTAGCAAATATTTTTGGTACCTTAATATCTGACATTGAAAAGGTCTAACAAGGATTGCTTCTGACTTCCCAAAACGAAAGGCAAACAGGATGCACCAGATTCAAGATGGTTATACATCAATTTCGTGTGATTATGGCATAGATTGAGACCTTTGGTGGCTATGTGTACAGACCAAGATAAACCAATATCGGAATGTATACATGTCATCTTTAGGTCGTTTGGTGGATTACGTGGACATTGGATTAATACTTGAAACTTGTAAGTGCAAACAACATTGTAACATTGTCCTTGAAATGAACACAATGCGTTTGAATCATACGAATGTCCGTTCCTAAAAGATTTTGACTCTTATGTAATTTGTATTTCTTCATTAGTTCAGGTTCATATTGTTAGCATACCTATATTAATCATAGCTTGAACTATATTATTAGCATAAATACATTAATAATAGGTTGAAACTATATTATTGAATCATTTATATTGACGACATGTATTTACGATCAATGTTGCAAAAGTCGTTATTTTCAGATCGGTCGAGCAGTGAGTAGCGAGTATTCGTTTTAGACAAGGAGTACTCGACAAGTATTATTCGGATTGAGAAAATTATAAGAAATTAATTTCAAACTCTCATGACTTTTCAATTTCTTTCTAATAATAATTATAAATTGATTAATAAAGTTAAACAAATATCATTTGAACTCTCGTGTATTTTTTCTTTCACCATATTCATTTGAAACTTTCATGACTTTTCAGTTCCTTTTTAATAATGATTATAAGTTGGTTAATAAGGTTAAATAAATATCAAATTTAAAGTGTAATCATATATAAACTAAATTTCAATATTAAAAAATATCTTTATTTCTACATACAAAGTTATGTTTTTTAACTTTTAACATATTCTACTTAATTTATTATTTTTAATATATTGTTGGATTTAAACAATTATCATTTTAAATCTGTAATTTTTGAACAATTTGTATAAAATACTTCAATTATTAATTTAAATATCATATTACATGGTCAACTTAAATATAAATTTTAGTTTAACTTAAGCAACCCAAAAAATATTTTGTAAATAACAAAAAGTGATAAATTTTAATGTCCTTCTAATAATGAGTATATTTGGTTAATAAGGTTAAATAAATATCAAACCTAAAGTGTAACTATAAATAAACTAAACTTCAATATTAAAATAATATCTTTACTTCTACTTATAAAGTTATGATTTTAATTTTTAACAGATTATACTTAATTTATTAAATTTAATATGTTATTGTATCAAAATCATTATCAATTTAAAGCTACAACTTTTGAACATTATGGACAAAATACTTAAATTGTTAATTTAAATATAATATTACAATGTCACTTTAAATATAAATTTCAGTTCCACTTAAAAAACCAATGAATATTTTGTGAATAGTTAAAAGTGATAAATTATAGTGTTAAATGCAAAAACTAAATTGTAATCTCAATTTAACTAAAATATTTCCTAAAAATATTTTTATAATCGTTAAAAATTTTCAAATAAGTAGCTTAAAATAACTTATAATAACAATAATTAAAAATAACTCTATATAAATGATTATATTGTTACCTTACAAAATCAAAAAACAATGTTTGATGTCTTAAATAATTATAATGATAACAATTAAAATATTAAACTAATAAATTTTAAAAAATTAATTAACAATAACAACAACTATAAATAACTTTAAACCATATATTATATTTAATTTTATTCATGAGTAACTCACAGGTAGAAGTCATTCAAACGATTGAGATTATGCAGTTATAATAGATGTATATATTATCATATAATTCAAAATAGTCAATATATTATATCAATTTAGTATACAAATTTAACAACAATGTTATTCTTATATTTAAAAAACATATATTTGTAAAGATTTCAACTATATAGGTATTTCTGCGCAACGTGTGGACATTCGCCTAGTGTGTGTGTGTGTGTGTGTGTGTATATATATATACTACTCGTTTGTCCGCGCAAAGCGGCAACGACAATTAGTTTCTTTCGGGCAATTAGTTTAATTCAAAACATGTTATATTTCTAGGAACACTCATACTGTTATTATCGGTTGGTTACACGAAAATAGAAAGTTGAATGCTAAAACCTGTTAGTTTTTTAGAAAAAAAAAATGAAAATGCGATGTTGTTAAAAAAACAGTGCGTTGGGGCAATATGGTCCTAAAACTGTAAAATTTGAATTTTTTTTTAATATAAAAACAGTTTGCAGGAGCAATATGGTCCTAAAATTATAAAAATTGATTTTTTTTTAAATATAAATACAGTGTGTTAGGAATTGAGAAAGCACGAACTAACCTTAAGTCCAATATATATATTTTTTCTTTTTTCCCTCCCTATCGACATCTTCGTCTTGCTCGTTGCTCCAGTGAAGATCATCAGCAAAACTGCAACATAAATTTATCGATGGTGGCATCCAATAGGTTGACAGAAGAACGTTTGTATTCAAAAAACTGAAAAAAAAAATTAAATACATCAATTGAGACTAAGAACTTGAGAAACATAAATTCAAATATGCTTGAGAGAGAGAGAGAGAGAGAGAGAGAGAGAGAGAGGTGCAATCAACATATACTGCGTTATAGAACCTGATGGGTAAGTGTCTTCGTTTCCAACATATCAGGTTATTGTTTCCGGCAAACGGTGGTTGCTTAGGGTAGGGTTTTTACTAGATATAAAGTTTAGAGAGAGGCGTAGGGTTAGAAATCATACAGAAGAAAGATGAACAACAAAATAAATTATACCATCAATAACCTAATGGGAGGACGACATGCGTAGTGGTTTGATGACGCTCTTGGGGAAACCTAAGCCTCTTTTGTTCTGATGATGATCTTTATGTTTCACACACTTACTGAATAAATTTATTAATCCAAAAGGGAAAAAATATATTAGTCGTGGTATGGTAGTTGTAGCAGAAGGTCGATCTAGGTTTCTAGGATCAAGAGAGGTGGGAGAAGAACAGTGACATGTTGACGAATGTTTTGGCGGTGAGCTTTATAACATGAGAGAGAAACAAATGGACGTAGAATTCAAATTTTGAAAATTCAATCAAACATGCAACATTTAAGGATATTTGCGGAAGCTATGGGATCTACAAGGTTCAAAATTTGAATGCACCAGATACCAAGATTTTGGGAGAATTATAAGGATTCAAACTTGGATAAAATGCTAAGTTATAAAATATTATTATTTTATTGATGATTGGTTGTACTTTAAGCTTATATACTTGAACGTCTTAAAAAAATATTATTATTATATTAAAATCATTTATAGAAATAGTAGGATTTGTTTTATAAGATAGTATATATATATATATATATATATATATATATATATATATATATATATATATATATATATCTAACTACGACGTTTTAACAACAAATAATTTCACAATCGTTTTGACTTTGCCTCTCTGATCGCCATGTGTACGGTCGTCCCACATCCCTTGATTTTAATTGGATTTTGTCATTCTCCTTCTTGACCTCTACCTTAATTTTCTGAAAACCTAATCAGTCCGGATAATATTCATCCAAAACAAATTGATTACACACCGTTCTTTGGTTGGAGTTTTAAGAGATTTGATGTTCATGTCGATGATGGGTTTTGAACATTCTAACACTGTTATGGTGTATATACAACCCTAGAAACCTTGGATCTATGTTTTCTCTATTATACATGCAAATTTGGTTTTCCAAGGTTTTCAACCTAACTAGCATGTTATGGGGTACTTGTAAAATAAAACCTTAGTAGAATAACATACCTTTTCTTATGGTTGATTGCTTGGAGTCTTGAGAGCCCAGCACCAAAAATGTGGATGCCTCAAGTAGAATCACAAATCACCAAATCAACTTGGAAAGCTTGAGAGAATAGTATGCACTTGTAGAAATCGGCTCACCCTTTGTTCTCACACACACACTAGTCCCATTTCATGTGCCAAAGACCTCTTTATATAGTATGGAGGATTAGGGTAACATCCATGTAGATCCTAATACCCATGACCTTTCATTTCCATAGGATCAATGGGTTAAAAACTCCATGGACTATCCATGCAAGTTTAGCCCATCCTAAATGAACTTGACCAATAATATATATATATATATATATATATATATATATATATATATATATATATATATATATATATATATATATATATATATAAGATTCCATATTTAATTAGTTCCTTTTGATCACTAAATTAATTCTTAACCAGTACTAATTAAATAATATGAATTCATATTAATATATTATAACTAATAATATATTAATAAATCAAAAATATAGTATTCTCAAAAGATTATCCATATAAATTGTCTCGTTAAAGTGCAATCCAAATGGACCATGTCGGGTCGGGTCAAGTACATACCAAATATATATAGTACGGACTTAGACACCTTATCCAACTCTCTCCCACTTGGATAAGTCTGATAACTATAATTGCAAGTATGAGTTTAGGAACCGGCCAGCAATCGTAGCTCTTAAAACTCTGTTGAACTATGAAGTGCCATTTTAGATAAGTGATCATATAATCCTCTGTTCTAGATATCACCCGGACAAATAGATGGAACAATGTCGTACTTATTGTCCGACAGTTTGTTTCCTGATTTCCAATTTGTTTGACATAGAACTAAACAGAACATGTCAATTTGTTTCTGACCGGGCCTAACACATAGGTCAAAACAAAATCATTGAGGGGACCAGATATCGCTTTTAATCCTCCTAGGATTAAAAGGAACAAATAAACTTCGACTAATATGCTTGTTC